CTGATCAGGATTTTTGACATCACTGCTACTTCAGTTCCTTTCTAGATACCATAGACTCTCCTTTTCTTTTCTCTCTTCTTTCCACTCTCCCTTCTGCAACCCCCAACTTCAGGAGTTAGTCAGGAATGGACACGCTGGCTCCTTAACAGCCCCTGATGTATGATGCAGCAGGAGCGATATTGATCACTTCTCATTAGAAAAGCTTTTTCATCACCCAGGCAAAGTGTTTCTCTGCTCCCCTGACAAATAGGAGTGTCACAGGGTACTGACGACATCATATATCCTTCTCGCCTTGCAGCCATCCCCTCCCACCTGAGGCACTGTGCTTCACAAAGAAAACAACACACCAAAAAAACTCATATTGGGGTGCAGTGCAGCTGGAGGGAAGGGGGGGAGGGAAGGGGGGAGGAAATGCCACTAATTAGTAGAAGGGATGGGAATTGTGCAGAATCAAAGGTGGCAATAGAACAAGTAGGAGAGAACATACTTTTAGTTTGTCTCAGTGAGAGAACTAAAGCAGAGAAATATGAGATTTTCCCAGGATGCACTAGAGACAATGTGCTGAATTTACTAGACTTTGGGTAAAAGATGCTGTTTTCTTTTGAAGAGACAACCCAGTCTTAGAGAAAGTGAAGGTGAGGAATTCTTAAGAGGTGAAGTTATATATGTGTTTTGAGAAAAGAAAAAGTGCCTGAGGAAAATTTTTCATGAGGATGACTGCAAATGTGCTTGTCCACAGCTAGATTTCCTTCACATAAATATGTGACCTGCCACCATTTAAACAATAATGAAGTTCAGCTTCCTTTATGAAATGGCCTTGAAAGAACTGAGGCCCTTTATTGCCTGATCAAGGAACAGGATTCAAACCCGTTTTTGAATTATCTCATCTAGATTTGCTGCTAGCTTCTATTTCACATGGCACCTTTCATCCCATCTCCACTTTCCTATTTCATTGTTCTAGAAAGGGTAGCTGTAATCTGTGGTTATATCACCCCCTCTTAACTCCACCTGAAAGGATTGTAGTGCAATTTTTGCTCATACCTTCAGAAGTCAGTTCCATTCAGGGGGGTTATATCTACAGATAAATAGATTCGGGGTTACAGTCTGATAGTAAGACTCATGCTTTTAAATGCATCTGCCTCTCAGGTAAGTGATTATAAGAATACAATATATATTCCAGCCCTCCCCAACTGAGTACCTTCTTGATATGCATAGATATTTGGGAGGGGCAAGTCTCACATATCTGCATCAGAGATTGGAAGCCAGATATGCATCACGATATCACCACATGCATGTCATCATTTTTGTGTCATTGGGGTTTGTATATGGGTATTGCTTTCAATTCCTAGAAATCCCCTTTCTGATAATTTTTTTCAAAGTTGAAATTCAGACATCTAGACTAGAGTTATTTTCAAGTTGAGGAATGCTGCTATATTTTATTAAAGCTGTCCTCCACTCAAGTGCCTTCTAAGCGCTGTTATAGCCCATGCTTCATAATCACAGTTGATAAAAACTGAGTGTGCTATTCCAGTACCTTCTGGAATTAATAAGATGCAAAGAATATAAAAAACCCTTACAGTATATTCGTACTTCTGCACTGGGATCTCATGGAAAGATCTTGATGTTCTTTTTAATTTGTGCCACATTGGTACCCTGTAATCATTTTATATCCCATCAATATCTCAAGAGTAGTGACACATTTGAACTTTGGTGTTGGAGAAGATTAGCATATGCAGCTGAGAATAGCACACATAGCCAAGAAAACAAATATATTCATAAGTGAACAAATCAATCCACAGTTCTTACTCAAGAGACAAAAGCCCAGACTCAAATTATCATACAGTCGATATATGATGAGAACAGCTAGTTCTCTGAAGAAGTTTTTAATGCTAGGAAAGGTGATAGGAAAGAGAAAATGAGGATATGTAGCAGCAAGAAAAATGGACTCAGTTATTTATATTTATTTATATCTCTTTGTTTTTATAAATAGCTCAAGGCAATGAGCATACATAATATTCCTTCCTCCGTTTTCCTCAAAGGGAAAAGGGCTAGTTTGAGAGAAAGAGTGACTGACCCAAAGTTACTCAGCCAGCTTTCATGCCCAATGCAGGACTAGAACTCACTCCTGGTATCTTAACCACTAGATCAAATTGGCGCTTTTTTTATTATATCACCAACTATAGCCATGATGAGGACACTTTTGGAAGACCTGAAGAACCATATTGGGACAGGTTGTCCTGGAACTTTATGGTCACTAACATTAGGATCAATCAATATCCTAAAAATCCTAAGATCTTTTTCCCAAATGTCATTTTCAGTGGAACTGCCTGGTGCAATTGATAATACTTAGTGGTGTATCTTTAGAATTAGATCTTGTTTAGCTAGTGCTGCTTTTCTTATATCATGTGATTTTGGGGGGGGGGGGAGAGGAGGGGAAAGAGGTAAGGCTACCATTCCACTCCAGTTTACTTGGGGTTTTGAACACAAAGAGTGTAATGAGTAGCTATAGATAGGATTGCAAAGGCATTTTGGCCAACTTTTCTCAAGATCACCTTCAGATATTTTGGGTTTCAGCTTCTATAATCTTCCAGCTAGCATGGCCGTTAACCTGACTCTCAAAGGCTTACACTTTGAGCTGTTAAGTAGTGGTGTAATGGAGCAGGAACACTGGAAAGTGCAGAAGCTAATAAATTGGATATTACAATATGTATTTCTGCTCTTTTGCTTCAGGTTAAATCTATGTCAAAGTATGTCCTTCAGTTTTCAGAGGTTTTCCCTAATCAAAAAGGCTCTTGTTTCATTTCTCTGAGTATTTCAGAACCTACTTTATTCTTGCAAGGAGATGGAAAATGCTGTTGCTTATGCCTTTCTTAAGGTGGTAAAACTCAAAGGAAATAATCCCCACATGATACCTTTGGAATTTAATTGATTTTGTGTCTGAAGGTGACCAGAGAGATGATTATACAATAAAAAAATATGAAATAAAGGGCATTCATACATACTACTTGGGCACATTGTTTAGTTCAGGAACCCTGCATTCATGTGTGAGAATTTCTCTGAAATATTCTTTTCCTTTAAAATATTTTTGAAAGCTCTTCCTTTCAAATCAAACTGGACAAGAATGACTGGGAGAAAAAGGACATTCTCCCCTTCCCCTCTAGTTTAGACATGCAATAGATTTACACATATTTATTTATTTATTTATTAAATTTATTTGCTACCCATCTCGCCACAGCCAAGTCTGGGTGGCTTACAACATAAAACAATTGTTTGACTTTTGGACTATCCTTGGGATGCAAGTCTCCAACACTGTAACCTTTAGCTATTGCAGTATAGAATTTACCTGTAAGATGCTGGCTGCCACCTTTACTTTGTTTCAGAACAGATAATAAAAAGGAAGATACCTTATTCAATGCAGAATTGAATCTATTTCACAAACTCATCTAATTCATTCTGTGTAAAGGCATCCTGTAAGGTCCTCAGCTTGTTTAACATTTAACCTACGGGGAGAGCTGAATTTTGAATATATTGATTTTGTATTGACTGGGTCCCAGAGTCCAACTTCCATGCAAGTATGCTTAAGTTGCTTATTGAAATTAGTGGACTTCACTATGGTTTTTGTGTGTTTCCAGTGGCATTAAGAGACTTTTAAGCACACTGTAGTGATAAATTATTTTTAAGTTATATTCCTGTCTTCTCCCTCTTCCTTGTTTAGAAAGCAGCTGGTACATTCCTGAACCAGCCAAATACCCCAAAAGCATGAGAACAGGTTAAATCAAGGAGCAGGCGTCCCTTGGCAAGCCCTAGACTTTGCTTGTAAATAAATCTGAATCTGTTCTGAGGGAATTCTCCTACAAGCTCAATGTTTGGCCACCCATTTCTTATCATCCCTATTCTCCAGCCAACGGATCATCCTTGTAGGAATGTCCCAGCACAGCACCTGGCCTCTCTGAAGCCAGCTGACTGCCCCTTCTGCCCAGCTCAGTTTCCATCTTATTCACCCCAGATAATTGCAGCAGCCATGAGTCAGGTTGTATTAATGATCTATAGATCCCAGGTCACCCATTGCGCTTAAGACTTGGATTGCAACACTCCATTACTATTGGCTATACAAGGGCAGAGCTTCCATCCATACAGCCATAAATCTAGCCTCGTTGGGCCATCACTCAGCCCCACTCTGCCTGTCCATCTTCACCTGCCTGTGGGTCTTTTGTATTTTACATTTCTAATTAAATAAAATTACACACACAGACACCCGAGACAGACACATACTAGGAAAGAAAAGGTGGAGGGATAATGAATTCCTCAATGATTTGCTGTTATATTTTAAAGGGTCCATAAAAGCCAAGGGCGATAAAAATTGATTTTGCCGTTATCTGCTCCAGTGCTGGAACAGGAAAAGCTGTTCCCTCCTTCCCAGGCATGCTGGTTTCCCCAGCCGGGGTTTGGCTGTGGTGAGGAGTTACAGCAAACTGGGACTTACTGGTGGGAACTAACAGGCATGGCAGAAGCAGTTTTCTTGGACTTAGCCAGAAATACCGCTATGGGCTTCTCAAAATACCAGGGAGCAGAGATGGTAGAATGCGCCGATGCTGCATAGATATGAACTGCACAGATGAAAGTGCAAATATTGAACAGAATGCAGTGATTGGTTTTACTAATAAGGATTTCATATCTGCTGCTGGATCCAAAGCAAGCCCTCTTTGCCAGCATGAGTAGAACAAGCTTGTTCAATTCCAAGCAGCCTTCACTTGAACCAAAGTCTATTGGCAATAATAGTTTCCTGTCTGTCTACATGAGAAGGAAAGGGAATGCCCAAAAGAAAAAAAAAATAGTTGGTGTTCACACACTCCACTCTTTTGCTCTGGTCCCCACCCAAGCTTCCTTCAGCCCCACTCACCATCAGCAATGTGCAGCAGGAACCTCAACAGAAAAAAAAAATATATCACATTTTCCAAATCATAATTTGCCCAACTCAACAAACAACAAAAACCAGCGAGTTGCAGAAAGACCGCATTTTATTAGAATAGCTGCAACATGTCATATAAATATAAATATAAATATATACATATATATATACACCCTATACATAGACTTGGGGAAAGGTCAAGGCTGGGGGAAAAGGGTGATTATTGCTTTGAGCGGCTATTATATTTAGTTAAAAAAAAACCTAACCATTTAGGGAAAGGAAAGAAACAGATGAGAACACAAAGCCATGAATGCGGGTAACAATGAATAGGATTTCCACAAAAATGTGTATGTATAGCTATCAAACCTGTGCTGTAAGTGTTTAGTTGTCCGATAGATGGCAGCAAAGATACAGAAAACTCTAACCCTTTGCTATCATCTAGTGGTTCTGATAGGCATGAAGAGGCATTTTGTAGCATTATATCTTCGAAAGACACAGTCCCTAGAGAGGTGTGTCTCTCTCCTTCTGTATGGATACAGCAGGACCTGGATCTTACATTCCTCTCTTGTGACTCAACTGAGAGGTCAAAAGGCAAAAGCAAAAAGAAACCGCAACCTGCCCACCCCACTCCACAATTAGAAGAAAGCAAATGCAAAGCTCAGCAAATGGGGAAACTGAGGATATATACAAGGGCTAGGATGTCAAAGGAGAGGCAACTAAAGCCAGAGGCTCAATCTCACAGAAAGGAGACACGTTTATCAGTAGTCACAAAGCAGCAAGTTGAGAAAGAAGCAATACTCAGCTCAGCATTGGGAAAGAGCAACTTAAGGAAAGAGGTGAGGAGGAAAAAAAACAACCAAGTCTACTTAAGGAACTGTGGCTGGTTGAGAACCACCTTCATGTTTGCCCCCTTGCACTTATTCAATCCAAAATGTAAAGCCATGGATCCTTGTCTCTTCTGGTATTCTTGGCTCTCACTGACTCATGCAGCGCTGTCATGATTGACAGCTTCTTCTACAAAATACCAGATCACGTTACTGAAGCCATGTCTCAGGTTCCAGTGCTCTTCCAAACTCCCTTTACATCAACATATTAGGTACATTATCCTAGAGCCTCCCCCACTGTCACACTGGGAATTGCCATTATTATTATTTTGCACAGAGGGAGATTTGTTCACATTGGAACATGTGAACGCAGGTTCCCTCACTTGCAGTGTAAAATGGCGCTGCCCATCGCTAAAACCTCAGATTATGCCTCCATGGGGGGATTAGCTGCAGGTATTGTCCAAGGGAGGGAATCGTACTGGAAGAAAGATAATCGTGGGTGGGCTTCTATACTCCTACCGGTCAGAACTAGCATTGCATATGGCTGCATCCCCAGCCCCTTATCTCAGATTTGCAACAAAGGCTATGATCTGAAGGGGGAGGAAGCCTTGAATTATAAATCACGTGTCAGGGAGTAACTACACATTCCCAATAGTTCAGAACTGCAGATACAATGCAAAAAAATAAATAAATCCCCATGTTTCTAGACTTTAAGGCAAAAGAATCTGAATAGGACTTGCAAGGTTTCTTTTACTCTAATTCAGTGTTTCCCAAACTTGACAATTTTAAGGCATGAGGACTTCAACACCCAGAATTCCACAGCCAGCAACGCTGGCTGTGGAATTCTGGGAGTTGAAGTCCTCATGCCTTAAAATTGTCAAGTTTGGGAAACACTGCTCTAATTGATGGGATTCTGCATACTATGCAGTTGGTATTGGCACTCTTCTTTGGCTATTTGTAAAACATTCCTGCTGTTCACATCGTCTAGCTCCAGTTTCTGCCTTTTTCTGCTATCGACATTCTTTGCTGTATTGGATTTGTGCTATTTATGATGAAATTTGTGCTAATATAAATCTATTGTATACATTTGTGCTAATATAATGTATTGTATATATTTGTGCTAAATATAAATCGAGTAATTAAGCTAACCTGGGACTCTATAGCTTGTAGTAATTTAATTTGGTTTTTCATCTGAAACAAGATACATTTGCTATCATTTATTCTGGAAGCATAATTTATGTTAGTATGAGCTGACTTGCTTAATGAGCCTAATTTATGCTATGGTGAGGAAATGGAAATCTGGAGCCAAAGCACATTTATGCACAGTTACGATCCGTAGCATCGAGATAAGCATGCTTTGATGTTTCCTCCAGATGCATTGTCCCTACCTCAAAAATATATGTATTTCTGCTTAATATTAATAATACTAATATCGTGGCAAAATACTATTCCTGTTGCTAATTCTTAGAGTGAATTATTTGATCAATTAATTACATGTTGCAAGGTTCTCTGTTGTGCAATAGCCAATGCTATTTTTTTCTGCTCTTTATTCATTTTGGTTTCTTTTGGAAGGAAAATGCACCCATTGCTTTTCTGGTGGGAGATAAAGAAAATTAGCTTGATTGAAACCACTTGAATTCATTTTTAATTTAAGGGTATCTCTTACGAATATCCTTCCCCACCACTTTCCATTCCTGGAGAGAAGTGGCAGTTACTGTACATTACTGTCATGTCTTTGTCCCGCCTTCTCCAGTTTAAATATCATTGGAATATTTGAGAACAGGAATTATAACAGAATAATCTTGCCTTTTGCTATTTGTGTAAAGGTAATAGCCTCATTTAGGAAAGTTATTGATCATGTTTAAGGGAGAAAAACAACCTTGCCTGGGAATTTGTATAATTTTGTTCCCTCGTGGTGATGAGACATGCAGAAAGAGATTTTATGGAATCTGTTCTCTGTTTTATTCTAATTTACATGTCTGCTAGTCTGGTTGCTTTAGTTTTTATTTTTAAAAGCCCACATACAATGCTGTATAATATATAAATATAAAGCAATAAAATCCCTTGAGGATTTTATTGGAAGAGATACCAATAACTAAACCAATAAATAGACAATCCATTCCTTTGCATTTCATTTGTTTTCTTTCTATTTACATACTGAGGAGTTAAGCAATAGGTGAGCTTTCATCTGTTACTGAGCTGTTGTATAACACTGAAAAGAGAGAGAAGCACCCTCTAAACATTTTTGCCCCCAAGTGCTTTCCCCAAACACTTGTTTTGTAGATATAAATTCAGCTAACTATTTATAACCAAGGAATTGATATCCTTAATTTGAGAACTTCTCAAATACTGACTTTGGGTTTATTCCAGGGATACAGAGTCTGTAACTCCCCAGCTATGGCTGGATTCCAGCTGAAATCAGCCACAAGGAATCAGTAAATCAGCCAGGGATCAGTAAAATCCTTATAATAGGAAAAGCAAATTGGTGCCTCATGGTTGACTGGAGCCTCAATACCTACATAACTTTTAAAGGCCTTCCTTTTCCATTCATCTCAATACAGCTGCTACTGATAAGGCAACTGAAGCCTCTTCTCTGTCTCCATTTGCTTGTTAATGAGCAGCCCTGGTGGTGCAGTGGTTAGAGTGCAATGTTACAGGCAAACTCTGCCCACAGCCTGGAGTTCAATCCTGATGAGGCTCAAGGTTGACTTATCCTTCCATCCTTCCGAGGTCGGTAAAATGGGGACCCAGATTGGTGTGGGGGGGGGGGCAATATGCTGACTGTGTAAACAACCCAAGAGAGTGCTATAAAGCTGTAAAGCACTATGGGGCAATATATAAGTCTAAGTGCTATTATCATATCTCAGTTGCAATTGCTCCCGATTTTCTATAAAGTCTACAGAGTCCTTTCAGGGCAAATGTCAGAGTATCATTACCTTCCACAGTGAGGAGATCTGATGGTTACTGGACAGCTGACTTCCTTGCAAGGCCTAGGGACCATAAAGCTTCCGGGTATAAGCACAGGGAGGACCTACATATGTCTGGTGGGTTTTGTAGATACAAGCATTTTCATGAATTCTGTAGTACTGGTACAATGGGCAGGCAAACAGGGAGGCAAAGTCATTGTGGATATCTGTAGAAGATCACACAAAGTGCCTGGACAACTATCACTCTGTGGTGATACATAGCCCATCCTACTATAGTTTAATATCACCTAGTTCCCATCCCTGAGGATATTACTCCTGATGCAAGATGGCTCTGACTCTTCGGCTTTGGAAAGGGTCCCTGGAAGACAACCACTTTTTACAGCCACCCACCCAATTGTGTTAGGATAATTCATTCTTCTTAAGAAACTCTTTATGGAAGCAAGAATAGAGGGAAGGAACCAGCCTGCATCCTACTGAAATGGGAGAGGGGAAAACAAGGGGACATGATGGTGGTGTTGGGGACAAGAAGCTTATTCAAAAGTAAAGGGGTCATGGGTGCTGAAAAAGAAGTGCCCGTCAACATGCGTGTCAACAGTTTCCTTGTCACTCTCAGGCGGGAAGCGCTCGTGGCAAATGGGACACTCTTTCCAAAAGTCTGGTGAGGGCAGGTCCAAGGGAGATGCACCCATTCCGGATGATTCTGACATCTGCCGCCCTGTCAGCCCACTGAGCATGGACGAAAAGTATGGGAAAGAGAGAGAGAGAGAGAGAAAAATAATTAAAAAGGGTGCTCAAAAAATTGAAATTTCATAAATTGATCTTCTGAAATGGTGCTGAACATTCTCCAATAGGATTCACTGTGCAAGACCAGGGTAGAATGGAGAATTGCTTAGGCAGGCAAGGTCCAAGATGCCCAGAGTCACAGAACTAAGGTCAGTGAGACTTGACCTCCCGTGTAGGCCAAGATACATTAATCACAAATGAAGGCAGGGGAAAGGCTTCATCCTACCAGACACACGGGGCTCCTTAAGCAAGTCCTTCACTAAGCATAGGGCTAATACGTGGGGCAATCAGACTCAGCAAGGAGAGAGAAGAAAAGCAGGGGAGGGAGGGAGAGACACCTGTAAGTGGGAGGCTTAGGGCTGCAGAAAGGATGGGAAGGAAGAGGATATTGAGACCTGATGAATTTGCAGGAGACAAAATGGGAAGAGGAAAAAAAGAGCTTACATACCAAAGAGGAGTCAGCTTTTATTCTGGAAAAAAAAAAAATCTGGGAAACTTTGATTTCAGGTTTTCACAGCTACGGCTGTGTATATTCTTTGTGTCATTATATATATCCAGTTTGGCTGTTAAACAATCCAGAGCTGGCACTAATGGGCGACTGGAAGATGAAACCGTAATTAAACTGCGTACATTTGCGTGCATTTCTTATTTTGCCTAATCAGCACTTTCTCTCTTCCCTCTTCTGCAAAATCTGTCTGACTTTTCAATATTTACAAAGTGGCTAGGGAGGACTGCAGACTACTGAATAACTTGGCCAGGTCTCTGGGTTCTGAGGTACCACCTAGAAAACTTTCAGATGTTGCTGGGTGCCAGGAATGAGAGAGGACAAGATTGAAGAGAAAACACAGTTCAAATGAAATAACTTCCTCTCACCTGGCCATTTCACAGAAGCCATTGCCCAGCTCTGGAAGGAGTAGATTGGTTTCTTCACCACCACTCTGGGCAGCTGCCATCAGAACCACCTTCTCATCTTCAGCTTCCTACAAATAAAAAGACCCGTTTTCAGCATGTTTGACTTTGGCTCATGTTCATGAGAACTGGCCTGTTCTTCTTTTTGCTGGAGGGCACAAACTCCTGTGCCTCAAGATATCTACAGCATACGCATGCATATGGGATCCTCCTTTCAGGACACCTGTTTTGCACAGAAAAGACCTAGGTTCAGTCTCTCCAACTAATAGAATTATGGGATGCAGATGAAGGAAAGAGTCCTTGCCTAAAATTCTGGAGAGCTGTGGCTAATCAGGCTAAACAGCATCGGAAGATGGGTACAAACCTAAGTCAGTAGGTACTTCTCTTGGTGCTGATAACAATTCTTGCCCCTTTTGGATATTATTATTAATTATTATTATTTCTCTGAACTTACAAAATTAGAAGCTGGTATCATGGACAGTAAGCACATCAGCATTTAGCACAGACATGTGCCTGTGTGTACATGCACACAAAAACAAACACAATGCCCTTGGATCTGACAGACACCGAGGAGGGAAAAAAGATGAGTAGCTGCAGTCCTGCCATCTTCCTGCTCAAAAGAAGAAACTAAACCAATGTGATAGGAAGCATCCTTTAGGAGAGGCTAGCGAGTTGATGGGGAGCATTTTTAACACCGTTGTTTTCCTAGTGATTGGGCTCCAACAGTAAACGTTTTGTGAAAGCGCCCGGCCTCCTCTGAGGATTCCTTTGCACGAAGGCACTCACAGCAGGCTTTCAGCTGCCCTGTCCCTGGGCTAGATCATCTCTTTGCCTGGATCCCCAAAGCAACTCTTTCACCCTTTGCCTTGGACAGCTATACGTGGGCTGGGCTGGGCCCTTCCCCACTTCTTGGGGTCTCACCGAGTCAGAACTGGAATCCTCCGGTGGTTGTTTGATCTGACTAGCAATAGGAGCAGGCTGGCTGATCACCACTGTGTGAGATGGCCCATGGGCACAGGGAGGTGTGGTGGTCACTGCCCGGGTGTCACACAGGCTGTAAGAACTGAGCTGAGCAGGCAGGCGCATGTCCTCAGGGCATTCGTCCTCAGAATCAGACACTGGGGAGTCCAGGGAGCCTGGAAGAAGAAAATGAAGATGGCGTTAGGTATGTGTCCGTGTGTGTGTCTGTGTGTGTCCGTGTGTGTGTGTGTGTGTGTGTGTATAAACAAATCTCTCCCAGGATCAATGATACTCCCAGCAGAAACTGACCTTGCAGAGAAAAAAATTGCTCTAGTTAGCCTCCTAGTGTGAACCTGAAACTGGATGTTTGTCCAGGAGATAAATCTTCCCTCCTTCCATTGGTGCTCCAAGCACATGCTTATTTTGCTAATGGTTAATTCAGGGTTGCTGGGTGGGATATTTGCAAGTTCCTGCCCTACAAAAGGAGCTTAAAGGCAAGGTGCTCCAAAGAACAATCATAATCATAATCATAAAAGTTGTAAGGGACCTTGGAGGTCATCTAGTCCAACCCCCTGCTCAGGCAGGAAACCTTACACCATTTCAGACAAATGGCTGTCCAGTCTCTTCTTAAAAACTTCCAGTGTTGGAGCATTCACTGCTTCTGGAGGCAGGTTGTTCCACTGGTTAATTGTTCTCACTGTCAGGAAGTTTCTCCTTAGTTCTAGGTTGCTTCTCTCCTTGATTAGTTTCCATCCGTTGTTTCCTGTCCTGCCTTCAGGTGCTTTGGAGAATAGCTTGATTCCCTCTTCTCTGTGGCAGCACCTGAGATATTGGACATTGCTATCATGCCCCCCTTCGTCCTTCTCCTCATTAGAAGAAGACTGGAACCCTCTAAAAGTTTGAAAAAACAAGAGCCTTTCACACTGTTATTGTTGGGGCCTGCATACTGGCCCTTTCTTGTTTCATCACCACTCTCCCCTTCCTCTACCTCTTCACACCCGGACTCGCCCTGATCCCAGGAATTTATCTGACATTTCCTGCTTTGGTTGCCTTCTCCCTCTTATCTTCTTGCCAACAGAATTGAATTAATTTCAGATAAGAAGATAGCGAACCAGTCTGGTGTAATGGTTAGGAAATCAGGCTAGAAACCGGGAAATCATGAATTCTGGTCCTGCCGTAGACATGGAAGCTGGGTGTCCTTGGGCCAGTCCTTCTTTCTAAGTCCTAGGAAGGAGAGAACCACTTCTAAAAAACCTGGCCAAGAAAACTGTAGGGACTTGGCTGGATGTCCCCAGGAGCCAATGCTGATTTGAAGGCAAGAAAAGGAAGGAAAAAGAAAAAGGAGGACAGTAAACATTTCCTAATGTGCTTGGTGTGGATTTGGGGAAGGGAAGCAAAAGGCTCTCCTGTTGAAAGTTCCCAGGAAATCGATGTTCCATCCACCCAGAAAAAAATATCTCACAATATCTAAAGTCTGACTTTATGGAATACGCCATAGAGTTCCCACAGAGTGAGAAAAGAATGGAAGCATCGCAAAGTGCACCAACAGAGTTTTTCTCAGCTAGGGCCCTACCCAGGGTAGTAAACATTTAATAACCAGATGTTGCTGCAGTGCAATTCCCATCATTCCTCACCATCGGCCCAGGACTCCTAGGAATTAAAATCCATCAACCCTACAGGGCAATATATTGCCCACCTCAGATTAAATATGGGAAGAAAAGATTTGGCTAAACAAATTTCTGGAGAAGCAGTTTCAATCTCAAGGTAAACGCCATCAAGATCCCTGCCCCTTGTGTTCTGGATAAGTTTAAGGATGCCTGAACATTTAGATTCACGAGGCTAGTTTCACAGAACTCAAACAAGTCTGTAGATCCCTACATCATCATCATCATCATTATTATTATTTTGCCTGATAGCATGGACTAGAGCAGACATGTCAAACACAAGGCCCGGGGGCCGGATACAGCCCACAAAGCCATCCTGGAAATAGTGAGGGAACGGTCCCCTCTGCGTTGGTCCTGGCCCAGGCCAGCCCGGAGCCAATGTAAAATTTTGTGGTGGCCATCTTGGCATTTGCCCCGGTGGACCATGCCTTGGCACTTGCCCGGTCCCACCCCCTTCTGCCAGAGACCCTCAGATCTGTCCCACTTCTGTCCAGGCCCCCATAGGCAACCTTGATGCGAATGATGTAGAACTGGGCACGCCCACCCAGTAGGCCATACCCACTCCATCCACGCCCACCCAGTAGGCTGCACCCACTCTGGCCACACCCACCCGCCCCCCCCCCAGGGCAACTGCAATGCTGATGCGGCCCTCAGTGAAATTGAGTTTGACACCCCTGGACTAGAATCACTAAATATAATTGATCGGGCTGCCGGGTAACAGTGGCGGGACTAACCAGGAGTATCCAGAGCTCTCTCCTCTTCATTATCAATCAGAACTGATTCACTCCATTTCTCATCTGCCACTTTCTCCAAACGTTCTTCAAGGCGGCGTATGTATACCAGCAACTCCTGAAGGCAGAGAATGGGCAACGCATTAGCACTGAGCCCTGAACGATAATGGATTCCTCTTGCCACTTTAGTAGCTTCTTCTCCTACTAAATTCAGGCTATGGCCAGCCTTTCTTCCCTCCTCATTGGGATGCCACACCAACCTGTTTTTCATCCTGCAGTTGCTCTTTCTCCTTCTGGGCAACCTGCAGGGCAGCGCGCAGTTCCCGTAGCTCCCGGCGGCTCTCGGAAACTTGAACCTGATGAGGGCAACAGTGACGTTTGCCGGAGCAGAATTTTAGAAGAACATGTCTAGAGAGTTATGAAGCCCACCATGGAACTAAATATAGGTAGTCCTCGACTTACAACAGTTCATTTAGCAACTGTTCAAAGTTACAACGGCACTGAAAAAAGTGACTTATGATTCTTGCAGCATTCCCAGAGTCACGCGATCAAAAAAATCAGACGCTTGGCAACTGGTTCACATTTATGACGGTTGTAGTGTCCCGGGGTCAGCTGATCACCTTTTGCGACCTTCTGACAAGCAAAGTCAGTGAGGAAGCTCGATTCACTGAACAAGCATGTTACTAACTTAACAACTGCAGTGATTTACTTAAATAATGTGGGAAGAAAAGTCGTAAAATGGGGCAAAAGTCACTTAACAAATGTTTCACTTAGCAACATAAATTTCAGGCTCAACTGCGGTCATAATTCGAGGATTACCTGTAGTTAATGCTCATGCCCAATGCTGGGATTTTAAGACAGCTCCTTTCATTTTTGGAAAGCTCTCTCCATTTTCTAGGACCTCTATTTTATCCATGGGGCAGAGCCTACCCTTCATCACTGGCCATCTCCATTCCCTAAAGCAGGGGTCCCCAACCCCCAATCTGTGGACCGGTACTGGGCTGCAGCATGCCAGCAACCGGGCCGCACAAACAAGCAAAGCCCCATCCGCAGAATGCAGGCAGCACACAAAACCACAACCCCTCCAGTCTGCGGAAAAACCTCTCACCATGTAACCGGTCCCTGGTGTCCAAAAGGTTGGGGACCTCTGCCCTAAAGGCTCTTTAAGGCTTCTTTTTTTTTTTTTTTTGCAGATTTATTGTCACATTGCACTCACCTCTTAGAGCAGGCCTGCATAACTTGGAGAGGGGAAAGGGCCACACCGATGAATTAAAAATAATTGTGGGCCGCAAAGGAATATCTGGTGGGCCAATCAACTGCTACTAGTGAGGAGGCAGTGTTCAAGCTAGGAGCAGTAAGGAAGCCTGGAGGTTCTCAGCAGCACCCCTTTTTTTGGTGGGGGTGAATTTAGTGACTTTTTAGTAAGCAGCATCAAACCACACAGGGATGCTTGATGAGCCTTGTTTTTGTTCATGGACCGTATGTGATCCAGGCTTGTGTTAAGAATTTGTGCCAGCAAAACCTTATCCAGACTAAAAGAACTGAGATGCTTGATCCATTTAGGTCTTCCCTAACTAGGTGCTCTCCTGATACAGTGAGATGCTTGATCCATTTAAGCCTTCCCTAACTAGGTGCTCTCCTGATACAGTGAGACAGCAATTCTTTGACCTCCTGGCCAGGATGGTCGAGATGGTCTAAAGGAGCTGCAGTCACCATAATGCTAGAGAGCACCCAAGTTAGGAAGAACTATTCTATAGATCAGTGGTTCTCAACCTGTGGGTTGGGACCCGATTTGGGGTTGAATGACCATTTCACGGGGGTCGCCAAACAATGCAGTCCGCCATTTTTTCCCCTCTTTTCCTTAGCTGTGCTACTCCCTTTTATTCTATTGGCTTTTGAAAGCCAATAGAATAGACTCTCTTGAATAGAGTCTAATTCTATTGGCTTCAAAAGCCAATAGGAATTGTCCAGGCTGTCTCTGCCCTGCTGAGCCCACCAAAAGTCCCATTCTGCAAACGGTGCTGCACCAGTTGAGTAGTCCTCGACTTACGACTGGTTGGGGGTCGCGGCATTAAAAAGGTTGAGAACCACTGCTATAGATGCATCTTGCCAAATAATTGGGTGTAACAGGACTATGAAGGTCAGCCCAGAAATTTCTCAGTGAGGACTAAGAACGGCCAGTGACAACAGGACAGTGACTGGCAAATTGAAAGAGAGAAGAGAAATGAAATGGAACGATGGGCTCTGTTAGTCTTCAGTCAATGCTTCAAAAAGTCACAGAAAAAAAAAATCATGTAGAGCTCTTTTCAAAACTTTCTCTGCCGGTGATCCTTGCAAGATAAAGATGTCTTGCAACCCCATCTACATCGCCGGCAAGGGAGCTAAAAACCTCTTCCTGGGAGCTTGGCAGTCTTAATCTGTGAACAGCTTAACTACTTGTGAGAGGAGAGACATCATTGCCCAAAGTCTCTATTTTTCCCTCCCGCCCTGAACGATGGAATCCTTTTTTTTCCAGGGGAGATAGTTTACCAGACTGGCATCCCGTTCCTGTGCCAACTCCATACGTAACACCTGGCGCTGTGCCCGTTCTTCCTGCAAGCTGTTTTCAAGACGGAGAACCTCAGCACTCAGCTTCAGGATCTTATCTTTCTCTGCCTAACAAAACATAAATTTGAAAGGAACAGGTCACAGTGCAGGATGAGATTACTCCCTCCCCCCCCATTTGCTCTACCGAAAGCTATTAAAGAAGTGGGCAAAGTCAGATTCTTTATGCAACATGCAGGGCTGGGGAATCCAAGGATGTCTAGATGTTACTGAACGGCAGTAATAGTTCTTATTACAGTTCTTAATTGGTTTTGATAAATCATGTAAACTTTGCAAAGTTTGTTTTAATTGTGTATGCGGCCCAGAGTCATGTGCAAGTGAGATGGCCAGCTCTATAAATATAAATTCAATAAATAAATAAACCCAACAGCTCCTCAGCAATGACCATGTTGACAGAGCTAGAAAAAATTTCATTTTCAGTGGCATCTACAGTTCTAAAGTTGACAGCAGCTAGTTTAGGGAGGAGTCATCTGTAGATTTGTCCGTAGATTTAGTTATCCCAGCAATTTTGTCCCTGTCTTAACAGTGTGAGAAGTGAAGAGAAAGAAAGAGAAAGAGAAAGAGAAAGAGAGAGACAGAGACAGACAGACAGACAGACAGAGAAAGAAAGACAGAGAAAGACAGAAAGAAAGAAAAAAAGGAAAGAAAAGAAAGAAAGAAAGAGAGAGCAAGAAAGAAAGAAAGAAAGAAAGAAAGAAAGAAAGAAAGAAAGAAAGAAAGAAAGAAAGAAAGAAAGAAAGAAAGTTGGTTGTGTTCTTGAAGATGTTTACCAAGTTAGGTAACATTATCATCACTAAGGCTGTTACCTATTTTGGTAACGAAATGTCTGCAAGAAAACAACCAAGCTCAGAGAGCACCAAGGACTCCACAGTTCAACCCTGAGCTACAAATATTCTCTTTTATCCCTTTAAAATACAGACTAATTTAGTTCCAAAGCCATATTGTTCTTTTTCTTTTGAATCTTCCCAAACATTAAATCTTGGCATTCAACTGCTTGGGGATTTTTGTTCTTTCTGCATATGCAAAACTGATTTCAAAACTTCCCCAGAGTTTAATTTCAATCCACAAACAAAAGATCAATGATTGCATCAATGCATCTCAGGATCCTTTTGCTTTATTCCCTCCCCACTATAAAAAAACCCAACCCACAGTTACGAACGTTCACTTAGCGAATGTTCAAAGTTACGACATCCCTGCCCAAAGTACTTACAACTGGGTCCCAAAATTACATATGTTGCAGCATCACAGTGGCCCTTCACACTTACGAACGACTGCAGAGACGCTGCAACGTGCTACTTTGGTGCCACGCCTGAGAGCCCCAACTGCCCACGCTCACCTCCTGTGCAGCCTTGAGTGCCGGAGTGGAGAACTGTGGGATCGGTCTCTCTTCTTCCCTGCCAAGCCCCAACCTCTATCACAAGCGGGCGCAGCCCTGCCCGGCCACTTTCTGGAGTGCCGAACCCAGCTGGGTTTCACAAATTGTGCCGCCGTGGAGCTGGAGAACTTGGCGCTCCACCGTCCTGCTCCCCTCACTTGCCAAAAGGGCTCCTTCTCTAAATTGCAAGAGCGGTTTCTAAACAAACCTGCTTTCCAGCTCCGTCGCATTTCTCCCAGCAGCTCAAGATACTCTTCTTTTGCTGGAGAAATGGAAAAGCTGTGTTGCAAGCAGAAGAAATATGCAAAAAACCCGAAAATAAATTCGTGGAACAAAAAAAAAAAAAAGTTCAATCAGACCTTTTTTTTTTTGGCGAGAAGTTGGAAGGTCTGACTGAATTATTATTATTTTTTTAGCTCCATGAACTTCTTTGGTTTGCCGTTTCTCCAGCGAAAGAAGAGCATCTTGAGTTGCGGAGAGAAACACGATGGCGCTGGAAAACAGGTTTGTTTAGGAGCCCCTCTTGCAATTTAAAGAAGGAGTCCTTTTGGCAGGCGAGGGGAGCTGGGTGCTGATGCGCCAAGCTCTCTAACTCTGCAGCATCACAATTTGTGAAATCCACGTGGGTTTGGCACTCCAGCAAGTGGCAGGGCAGTTCCCGCTTGTGAGAGAGGCTGGGGCTATGCGGGGAAGGGGAGAGACCACCCCGGCGCTTCTCTGCTGGCTGGCAAGGGCTCCAGCACCCAAGGCCGCACAGGAGGAGAGTGTGGGAAGCACGGGGCTTTCAAATGTGGCACCAAAGGTAAATTAAGTGGTTGGTGGTGGGGTGAGGAGAAAAGGTCCAAGCAGCTTGGGACCCCAAGGGGTAGGAAGAGAAGCATCTCACAATGGGTGGGTCTTTGATGTCTGGATGCAGTAGTCTTGTCCCTGCACTAGGCCTCTCCCATGGCCTTCCCACCCTGAGATACCTCATATGTGTCACGGTTCTGATAGATGAGACTAGTAGAAATAAGAACTCTGAGGCAATTGCTTTCCTCAAAGAACACTTTTAATGGCTACATAATATCAGCACGAACAAAGGTGAAACCAAGACTGAAAGTTACCTCCCCAAAAGGTTACCAAGTAAAAGTTGAAATCCCCACCCCTTACTATGTCATAAATCACAATCCCCAATTAACACCTTTGGCAGGCTCCCGCCAAACATTAAAGCTGCTTGACCTTGGTTCCCACAAGAAAGTTATTGTTCTGACTGAACTATAAGAATGCATCTCCCCCCTCCCATTGCTAAGGCAACCAAAAAGCGTAGAAATATCGCTGATTTCAGAGTATTTGAAGGTTTGACAATATGTACCTAACAACCAGTACAGTCGATTAGTGAATGCATGGGCGAAAGTAGGGAGTGTTCACACTATTTTTCATGATTCACTCCAATAAATCTTCGGGTTATGAATGTACAGTAGTTGGCAGACTCTGTTACCTTTATAACTGGAAGACTAACTGTAGGCAATTTGTATGTGGATTGGAGAAGGTAGTATTATGTATAGTGCTGAAAATATTGGTCTAGGGCAGGGGTAGGAAACCTTGGCTCTTTTATGACTTGTGGACTTCAACTCCCAGAATTCCTGAGCCAGCTCAGGAATTCTGGCTGGCTCAGGAATTCTGGGAGTTGAAGTCCACGAGTCATAAAAGAGCCAAGGTTGCCTACTCCTGGCCTAGGGTGAAGGAGACCTGGTGTCGAAATTGCCCTTGATTATAGATTTTGTAGAACATAATTCTAGACCAGTGGTTCTCAACCTTTTTAATGCCGCGACCCCCAACCGGTCGTAAGTCAAGGACTACTCAACCGGTCGTAAGTCGAGGACTACTCAAGTGGTGCAGCACCGTTTGCAGAATGGGACTTTTGGCAGGCTCAGCAGGGCAGAGACAGCCTGGACAATTCCTATTGGCTTTTGAAAGCCAATAGAATTAGACTCTATTCAAGAGAGTCTATTCTATTGGCTTTCAAAAGCCAATAGAATAAAAGGGAGTAGCACAGCTAAGGAAAAGGGGGAAAAAATGGCGGACTGCGTTGTTTGGCGACCCCCGTGAAATGGTCGTTTGACCCCAAATGGGGTCCCGACCCACAGGTTGAGAACCACTGTTCTAGACCATTTGCTCCCTCTCTCAGTCTGAATCTCAGCCCTGGATTGTTGAGAAGGTAAATGAGATGAGACTTCCTCATGCATGCTTTAGAAGACTTCCCACAAGACAGATGGACAATAAATGATGAAGGGAAAAAAAAGTTTGCTCAACTGACTCGGGATCAAATGCCTAAGTGTACCACCTACCTCTACATTCTGCAGCAGCATGGCTTTCTCCTTCCACCAGTGGCCTTTGCCTTCTTTCCACTTGAGGGTCATGTCAGCAAGCTTGATGTTGATCTCAGCCGCCTCAAGGCGGCTCTTGTGGAGGTCAGAGATTGTGCGGTCTCGGATGGAGGCCACGCTGGCTAGCTCTTCCCCTAAGAGTGCCACTTTTTGCTGACTGGCAGCCAGGATGTCCTGTGTGGTGCGTAACTGTTCGCACAAGGACTCCATCTGTGCCTGGAAAGAGAGAGGACTGAGAGGAAGAGGCACAAGAAAAGGTGGAGGGGCCACGTTCAACCTTCATGGCATTATGAGAGCCCTAGGAAGAAGATAAGTGGTCTATAATGCCAGCCATTAGGATACAGCATATTTTCTAATCCTGGAACCTGTCCCAGCAAGTACAAGCATTGATTGTGGATGACGGGAGTGTCTTCCAATACTTGATGTAATTCTTGTAACCTAATTCTTGTACCCCCCCCCAAAAAAACACTTTTCTGATTTTCACAAAGAGAGAGAGATATATTGATCTAGTTTCTTTCCCTGGGCCAAGAATAAATCCCTGGCTTCTGGTTCCTACCTATCCACTCCTCTGCCCTGCAAATCCTGACAGAACAAGTGGCTTTGCCTAGATCAGGGCTGGCTGATTTTTGTCAGTTCTTTCTTGTTCTCTTAACATGAAACCAACTCTGTTGGTTGTAACTTTGTGCCAAGACTATTTACAAAACAAAAATCCATGGGTTTCGGGGACTTCCCCCATAATTAAATATTTTTATTTCTCCTAGAATTTTTTTTAAAAACTGATTCATGAAGCGCCTGATAGAACCTGGTGCATGAATCTTTTGTACATGAATCTTCTTTCACAAAATACACATTTGGAGAAAAAGGGTTGGGCCTTAAGCAACATTACCCTAGACTTTTTGCCTATGACATGTCCTGATCTGTGCTTTGCTTGTCCAACCTTGCATTTTATCAGAGTCTAAAATATCATTCTGAAATCCTGGATTCCTTCTTGTTGCAAACTACTGCCTTTCTTTTGGTGATGGAAAAAGCATAGACCGCTGGATTAGAGATATCGACTGAATGGCTACCGAAGGCTCCATACTCAAGGAAATGAAATGGTTACTTGCATTTAGAGGATGGGCAAAAAAGACAGAAATTACCAGGTGCTGGAGATAGGTTATCAAGATTGGATGTCTGTCTGCCTTCTCCTATTTGAGAAGCTCTGGGAGAACACCAAGATCATCCCATTAGAGACACCATCAGAGGCAGACAGCGTGCTGGACTTGATAAGCCTCATTTTTAATATTCCTAGAGGCTCCCTGTCATCGTGTACTTACTGTGCGGCAGTTAGCAGCAGCTAGCTTCTGCTGCAACTTCTGAATATCCTCCTGCAGCATGAGAGCCTGGGAGATTTTCTCACCATGACGACTCTTGGCTTCTTTCAAGTCGGAGGCCAGGCTACGGCTCTCCTCCTTGGAAGCCTGAAGCTTGACCTGGAGAGGAGAGGAGAGGTGTTTCCGACATGCCAGCTGCTTGGCTAAGGATGCCAGCTCTGGTTTTCCTGCTTCCCTTCATGTCCCTCTTTTCGAACCTGTTGTTCCATGCTCACCTGGTACTGCTCTTTCTCAGCATTCTCTTCTTTGAGCTGATGGTGGATGTGTTCCTGCTCCCTCAGAAGTGACTTCACTGTGTCTTTCACCCTGTGGCAGAAAAGATCCAAACAGGATATGCACATGTGAGGAATACCCATTGTGCTCTTTCTACTCAGGGGCATCTCTAAAAAAGGACTGCTTGCCTGCCTGCCTGCCTATCTAATCTGTCTATCTGTCTGTGTCTGTCTGTCTATGTCTGTCTGTCTTCCTATCTATCTCTGTCTGTCTGTCTGTCTGTCTATCTCTACCTACCTACCTAGAAATCACACTTTAGTTCCATCTTTGCATCATCCTCAATATAACATGAGCATCCACTTAGCCCATCAGCTAGTTCCAAGATGAGACTTTGGCCACAACCCATTAATTTCAAGGCATCACTAGGCTATTAAATAGATCAACTTCTCTGTGTGAAAAAACATTCCCCAACATAATCTAATTCACTGAGAGTGGGCTTGTTACAAACCATGGAGTGGGCTTGTTACAAACAAATGTAAAAATCAATATTGATCTCTAAAAGTCCTTCATTCATGTACTTCCTCTGCCTACGTTTAATTCATGATCTGAATGGTAGTCGACATCCTCTGATAAGACCAAAGACATTTTGTTCTCTTTTGAAACAACTCTCACCAAAGACAAGAAGGAATCTCTACAAGCTTAAAGGTGGTTCAGGAAAATAGAAACTAGGAAGCAGTACATTAAATCCTATGACAATTCTTTGAAATTGAATTAGAACGGCACAAAGGGCTGATTCCATGATGATTCTGACTTTTGCTTGAGAGACGATATAATTCAGCCCAGCCCAGCCCAGCTCAGCCCAGCCCATCCAGTTGTGTTGCTCCTAGAAACTTTTAATACTCAAGTTAATAGGAGTTCTAATCAGAACATCAACAGGACTCTGATTGCCTTTCGGTAGCTCAGAAGATATTGCCTCCCCCCCCCTCCCTTTCTCTTCCTCTTTCTCCCTCCTTTTCCTCCCACCATCCCTCTCCCTTTTGAATGTACTTGAGGTGCTCTCTTGGACATGGCCTTGACCTGTCTAATTCCGTCTCCCTCTGAAGCATCTTCTCTCCCATTGCTTGGATATCGCCCTCCAGTTCCTGGATTCGGGCCAAGTGCTCAGTTTCTTGAACGTTTAAAGTCTCTCTCTGCTTGGAGATTTCTGTGTAAGAATTTGACAGTTCCTGGTTAAGGGTAGAGAGGAAGAAAAGTGAGTGATGCCTATAGCATTTGAATAAAATCTGAAAATCCAGCAGCTAGTTTTGATGACAAAATGAACACAACAACATATAAATAACCTTACTGGTGGAAGGTAAAGCTCATTTTGATCCAGAATAGTATTTCTCACAATGCCCAATCAGATATAAGGTATGAGATGGAGACGTACTCATTTCCTACTAATGTTCTCCTGAAAACTGGTGTATGGGAGCATGCTTTGCAGACATTTTAATAATCACTGCATGCGTATTTATAAACAATTGAACTAATCTGATGCAAACATTAAGGCAGAGTGGCATCCCTCTGTACAGAAGGGATCTTGCTTCAGGCTTGGAGTCAGATGTTGCACAACGCTTTGTGACCACCTGCTTAGTGAGATGATGGGACACAACACCTTTCCTGAAGCTTGGGAAGAGGTGGAGCCTGGAAGAGCTGGCAAGTCCTACTGCAGAACCTTGCTTTCTGCCTTGCCTTATATTGTGCAGCCAGCTTGGTATGCTCGTCACGTAAGGAGCTCAGTGCTGCTTCTAGATCGGCTGCGCGGCTTCTCAGTTCTTGAACCTCTTCCTTCAGGCGACAGGATTCACGCAACAGGGCTCCTTGTTCCTGACGACTCTCTTCCAGCTGAGTCTGTGGGGAAGTAGAGAGAGATACTGTACCGAAGTACAAAGTCAGGGGACACATTCATTCGGTGGGCTGAATTTTATTGTCTTTTATTGCTATCCTAGGATTAAAAGCTGATTAAAAATTAAATCATGATATAATATTCCCAGGCTGAAATGTTTCAAGGCTATTTGTATGCTCCATTGCTTTTACAAAACGGCTTTGCACAAAGAAAACTCAACATGCCAGGGAAAAACATTTATTTCAGCCTTCAGATATTTAATTTTTTTCATACAGTGTGCCCAAATAAGGAATGTCTCAGTAGCAGCTTAGTAGTTCCGGTATAGTGCCAGAAGACTGAAAAGCTCTGCTCTTTTGGCTTGATGAAAGCAGAAAGTCGGCCATTTAATATTGGATGGATAGTCCAGGACATCTTAATAATAATAGTAGTAAAGTTGGAAGGGACCTTGGAGGTCATCTAGTCCAACAACCTGCTCAGGCAGGAAACCCTACACCATTTTGGACAAATGGCTGTCCAGTCTCTTCTTAAAAACTTCCAGTGTTGGAGCATTTACTGCTTCTGGAGGCAGGCTGTTCCACTGATTAATTGTTCTCACTGTCAGGAAGTTTCTCCTTAGTTCCTCCACCTCATTCATTTTGGCACCTTTGGAGGGCAGATTGAGCCCATAGAGATGTTGTTGGACTACTTCCTAGACTGCTAGCCACGTTAGCTGAGGTGGATGGAAGTTGGAGCCCAAGAGCATGAAGAAGACCAATTTCTGACACCAATGCTGAGGAAAACTTCAGGTCATAAGCCAAGACTTTAATTTGATTGTGCCATGACGTACCACCAGATCTGAAGATGGAAAGTGAAGATGCTGACTCAAAGGAAACAACCAGTATATTTTCCACTATTCATAATCACCAGGGAAGGCTAAGGTCTTTCTCTCATTGCTGGTATTGTTTAACCTCTAATTATGTCAGAAGATACTATGTATTTAATATGGAAACGATGACATTCCCTTTGTATTAGAAACGATATGGAAACAGAATTAAAATCAGGAAACACGAGTTTGTTGCAGTTTACTTCTAATCCATCCCTTCTCTAGAGGGCACTAAAAATGTCTACAATAACCTCACAAAATAGGTTGGGTTGAAAAATTGTAAACAGGCCTAAAATATAGAGCATTTCATAGCTGAGTGAAAGCTTGCATTTAGAATTTCCTGAGGCTGAGCTGAATGCTATAGTCAGGCAGCAAGTAATTAGTCATGAAAAATTATACTCAAGGAAGGGAATAGCTCAGTGGGTTTAGGGTCAGGAATGTTGGCTTACAGTGAGAACCAAGGGTTGCTTAGAATATCCTACCTCCAGCAAAGTGGCCTTGGGAACTACCAGCAGCATGTCAGTTCCTCCTCCGTCATCGCTGGCCTCCTCTAGAGTGACGAGCTCATCCATGGGACGGGGTTCTCTGAACTGGAAAGGAGAACTTTGGCCACGCATCTCTCCATGGCGATCCACATAACGAAAGTGATATTGCTGTGGACCTGGCTTAGGCAAGTAGCTGGCTGTGAAAGGACAAATGTTGACTGTATTACTTTTTTGACTTCTGAGTATGAGGCTTTATTTATTGCTTGATTCCTAATGAGTCACAGATAAAAGGAAAACCAGAGGTAGGAAATTAGGATCAGTTTTGATTAACATTCTTTTAATTTTTAATGAACGGATAGGATCTTTTTGCTTTGCTTTTAGAACAAATTGACATTTTAGTTTTGCTCCCAGTTTCACTGCACTGAATGGAATTAATCTGAGCAGTCTGGACTATTTTATTGTTTCCCATGAACTTTTTTTTCCTAAGATGTTTTGAAAGGGCAGGATAGATTGCTGAAATTAAGTTCAATAAGACCAGTTTTCCTGCTGATCTACTTTATCTTGTGTCACCATTTTGTTTAGGCAGGAAGTCGTTCAAGTGTTACTCAAAACATTTAGCCATATGTGCTTTGATGAATCTGCTCTGAATCCCTTGAAACACAGCTACCTTGGAACTGGACACTGCAATGAAAGGTTCCTTCAGAAGCTCCACCATCTGGAATTATGCCCCACACAAAGGTATAATAGTCACGTACTGAAGAAGCATCCACCTGAGGCAAGGAATGGGAAGGTAGCATTAGAAGATGTAGTATTTGTATAACTCTCCCTGAAGGTCCATTGCAAACCCAACAATTTTGGATGGAACCACCTTTGGGTGTGAATTTTTAATGCTGCTCTTTGCACAAAATTCCTATCCTACCTAACTTTTGTTAATTTTAATTATCTAATGTTTTAATGTTTTATATTGCTGACAGTCACCCAGTTGCTTGATAATGAAATGAGTAGCATATATTATGAATCACAAAGACAACGGCAATCAAAACACTGAAAATGCAAAGTTCTAGCTGAGTTGTGCTGTCTTTGTACTTGCAGGGTATTTTGATTCTGTGCAGAAGAAAGTACATCTTCTTAATGGAAGGAAGATGTATTCCCCTAATAAACATGAAGGACCTAACTGGATGGCATCACCAATCAGCTTTGGTTGGCTTTGGAAAGCTACACAATTTAGATTTTGCTTGGTACTTGGAAGAGAGACCATCAAAAAACTTTGGCTGTGGGCTTTTCCTACTTTAATGCTGTTGTAGAGAAAAGATACGTCCATCCCCTGATGCTACAAGAAGCGGAGTTGGATTTGAATGAGACTTCAGCTTTTTACTGTACAGTTCTCAAGTGCTGTCAGAACTGCAAATAGTAAAAATAACATGTAACAAAATGTGTGGTGTTCATATATACTAGATCAGGGGTCCCCAACCCCCAGTCTGTGGACCAGAACCAGGCTGTGGCATGCCAGCAACCGGTCCACACAAGCTAGCAAAGTCCCATCTGCGGCATGCAGGCAGCACACAAAACCACGCCCCCTCCAGTCCACGGAAAAACCTGTCTCCACGGAACCGGTCCCTGGTGCCCAAAAGGTTGGGGACCTCTGTACTAGATTACAATTTCTCCAAAACTCCTGAATGTGACCCTATGCATTCAAACATAACCATCCCACTTGTCCCCAGTTGAAGTACCTTAAAGATCCCAATCCAATCTCTGGTCGATGGCTTCATGCCAGGTTGCAGATTGTAGTGGCACTCCACCTTGGTGTGGGGTATGTAACTTGAGGCCACATTCAGGAAAAGTACACTGGGGTGCGACTGCGCCTCTTCCATCTCAGTAACTTGGGCTGTAAAGTAAATGTAAGTAGTTGATAGTGCAAACAGCTGAGAAAACCTCTTGGATATTGCAGTTTTGCCGGCACATGATTTGGTGCTGAAGCAGCCAGATGGGCACTTAATGGGCAAACATCTTGTTGTGCAGGTGGATTGTTTTAGATTCTGCCCTTAGATGAGGAATGGCAATGCATATCACTTAACTTAGTTTATGATGTCATCAGGCAGCCCTGCTTTGGTTAATTAATTAGTTCTGCTCTTTCTCTGATGATGGGAGACCTAGATGTCTGCCCCAAAATATTGCTCTACTGCAGGGGTCCTCAAACTTGTCCACTTTAAGACTTGTGGACTTCCGGCTGGGGAATTCTGAGAGTTGAAGTCCACGAGTCTTAAAGTGGGCAAGTTTGAGGACCCCTGCTCTACTGGCTTCTCTGCAAATGCATCTCAGGACATGACCTGAAATATGAGCAAGGCTAGCTTTACGCACCAATACAGGCCACCACTCAAGGCCCACCATCTTCAGTAGCAGAATGGAGGAAAGCTTTTCTTTCTGCTGAAAACCCTTGACAGCCACTGTTAACTTCAACAGAAATTACAGGATTAAAGGAGAAAGGAATCGGTCTTAAAGCAGGAAATTATCATCTACTCAGCAGGGATGAGAACAGGGCATCTGTTAATTATTACCTATGCGGTATCTATAGATTTTAAAAAGTATCAGGAAAAAGCTGACATTCATATCATTTCTGATTATTCCTGCAGAATTAATTCCATTTCTGCTGGGCATAGGCTAAGGCTAGGATGGGTATATGTGAATGTGCATACTCTAAAAGTAAACATGGCAGAGTCTACTATATCTGCCCATTTGTCATATGTCTTAGTATTTTCCCTGGCATTATCTTCAAATTTGCAAGCATTATTTTTTTGCACGCTATTGCTTGCAGCTGGGAGACACAAATTAAATTATGTAACTGCATTAACCTGCTTACTGCACATGAATGAGTTTAACTCATATGCTCTGATCCTAAAGTATACGCTTTTTTTGCAACAAGAAGCTTTCAACAATTTTGGGGAGGTTTTTTTGAACAGGAAAGGGAATAGGAATAAGCATTAGGAGTGGCAGTACATGTACAATGGAACATGGATGGAAGCCAGGAGGAAAGGACAGAGCCAGAATGCCCTTCTTATTCTTCGCAGATTGTATTTCCATCACTGGGACACCTCGGTTAATTATTGATTGTTATAATGATTTATTTATGCCACACCGTCAGTTTACACGGTACATTGCAACGTATATATACAGTATGTACATAAAAAAGAAAAATCTTTGTCCCCAAGGTGCATACAGTCTAGTTAACGATGGAAAGAAGCTGCAGAAGGGGAAAAAAGGGGTTTTTAAAAAATGTCAGCCCACGCAGTTCAGAGCTGTAAGAACAATGGCTTAATTTCAGCAATGGGAGTGCTGCTGCAGAGTTCAGGGAAAGGTAGCAGGAGAGCCAATGGTTCAGAGGATGGATGTAGAAGGGACGGAAAGAGAATAATATTGAAAGAGAAAAACTCGGGAACCTTCTTTTTCTTATTTGCATACAAAGTCTGAACATAGATCCGTCATCATTTTCGCTCCCCAAAGCCCTCAGAGACACTTTCATACTGAGCTGTGATCATTCTTATTGCCACAAGACACCGAGAAGCCCCACAGGCAACTAGTGCTCCCTCCCTCCCTCCAACAGGAGAGCATTAAAAATGGCAGCAGCAACACATACACACCCACCCACTCAAATTTACCGATTTGGTGCTTTAGAAACACATCACAGCAATTCATAAAACGGAAGGGTCACCCTAGCAGCATTCTTGTGCTCCATCATTTCACTGATTCATGAACAGTGAAATGAAATTTGGGGACAGAACAAGCATCAGGAGGACCCAGCGATGAGGAGGGGGAAAAAATCCTTCCCCTGCCCACTTCTTCTCTCTTCATTTCAGAGGGATAAAACTGGACTCACAAGTTTTGAGCTGCTCTACATTTGAGCCAGAAATGAATCACTGAGTTGTTAAATAAAAAGCATCATTGTGGGGGGGGGGTCACAAGGGAACACAGAGCTGATCCTGGAGCAACATGAATTTATTTATTTATATTTTATTTCTTTATTCAAGTTCTATAGCCGCTCATCTCAGTCAATGACTTTGAGCAACTTACCTGCTATGTATAGAAGCAGCTACAGAATTTATAGAGGCAGACTAATCCTATCTGTAGAAGGGCCAGGGAAAAACAAGAAACTGTAAACCAATGGCCAATTATAACCAATAGCTACATTTATACCTCTATGTGGAAAGAGAATGAGAAACCATACCTTTTATTAATCCTTTATCAATCAGTTACTGATATTATTTCTCAAGGATCTCTTTAGTGTGGGACTCAAACACAGCTCATTGCCTGCCCTGGCAATGGCATTTCATGGCTGAACAAAGACTAGAACGGTCAAAGTCTCTCAATGCCTTTCCAATTCTTACTATTTTGCTGCAGTTCACTACAGGCAGTCCTCATTTAGTGGCCACAATTGGGACTGGTGACCTTGTCATTAAATAAAGTGGTTGTTAAGTGAAACTACAACTGTCCTTACAGACTTACTTCAGCTTTCCTTTGCTTTACAGGCCTCGTGAGGATTGGTCACAAAGTTACCTTTTCATTGCCATCGTAATTGTGAACAGATGCTAAATGAGGCATTCGCTGAACAAGAATGGCAGGTTTAAATATTGGACTGGAAAATGTCTGTGGAGATTCTCAGTTGTCTAGGTCGTGGTTGTCCCAAAGAGGCTTTTTCATGAGGCAACTGGACTTTCTTGTTTTTCTTTGAAGACGTTTCGCTTCTCGTCCAAGAAGCTTCTTCAGCTCTGACTGGATTGGTAGGGAATGGAAGGATTTGTACTCCTTGCAGACAGCTGGTCATTTGCATTCTTTTAGAGAGTTGTTGAGACCACCTGGAGGTTTATCTGTGTCGTCAGGGTCACCTGAGTAACAAATGGGTGTGGAGCCTTCTTGGAACTGCGGAAAGGACTGTATTGTAGACTGGAGATAGGTGATATCGTATCCCTCCCCTTCTGTTGAGAGAGGGCTGTTTAATTTTGACATAGGTGGCCTCTTTGACCCCTCTTTCAAACCCAGCGGCCCTCTCTGTCCAAAATGTGGACTTTGCTGTCTTCCAAAAGTGGACTTTGTCTTTTAAATGCAGATGGACTGTTGAATCTTGTCCTGATGGGTTTGTCCTCCTATGTTGTGCCGTGCATTTATGAAGTGGTTGTTTTAGTTTCCACAATGTACAGATCTGCACATGGCTCACTGCATTGTACTGCATATACCACATTGCTCAGCTGGGACTGAGTAGGAAAAACCTCATGCAGTGGAGTTTGTGTTTTCTTATAGCTTGCTTGAAATGTTGGGCTTTTTACATTGTGTAACTGGCTCCCTCCTCCAAATCCTACATACAGCTGCTCATTTTTCACTAACTAAGCCTGGGCGTAGAAGGCAATGATGCTGTTATGACAGGTCTCCCCAGCCTGGAAACCTAACCAATGTGTGGACTTGTTGCTTGGCATCATGGATAGTGAATTTGGGGAACTAAAAAAGTCCTCCAATTTGGGGAGCACTTAGATTGAGAAAGGCTGTGCTACGGGATTTCAATGCAGAGGAAGAAGGGAAAAAAATAAGTCAGATTAGAACAGTCTCCATTTAACTTGGGGCCTTCTGGATATATAGGATTACAATTCTCATCTAGCACAGCCAGCATGGTCAAAGAGCAGGAGTGATGAAAAAAAGCTGCAATTTGATAACATCCAAAGGGCTACAATAGTTCTTTATCTTTGTTCTATAAATTTCTTTTCAAAACTATTCTTTAAGGATCTAGCACTTTTCAATCTGTTTTTTTTTTTTGTGTGTGTGTGTGTGTTTGTGTGCGTATGTTAGAGGTTCATTGGGCTCTTCAGGAAAATGAACACATCTCAAAAGGCTGCTTACTGATGCTTTTGTACAACATCTGCTTCAAAAGGAGGGATAGCGAGACCCAACAGTCCACCAACACCTACTAGGTGGGAAATCAGAGCACAGGTCTGAATCTTATCTAACACTTAAGGAAATTATGGGAAATCATAAGGCTCTCCTTCATAGAGAAATCAACAGAAAAAAAAAAGAATCCTGCAGAAATGTGAATGAAATACCCTGAACTAACTTAGGAAGTGAATAAATAAAGGCGTTAGGCAATATATTTAAGCTTGGGTTGGACCAGAACATAGCCTGCATGAACGAGCTTCCTTCAAGTTTGTTACCTGGGATCAAAAAATGAAGCGGGAGACACCGAGGTAAACTTTTCTTCACTGTAGGGCATCCTGAATCTGTGAAAACTTATCTTAGAGAACCAACATACGGCAAGAGAAGATGCTGTTCTTTTTCCCAAGCAGTTCATAACCTGACAAAGTGCTTTAAAAAGACTTTTTTTCTATGCCTTTCAATATACACTTGCGATGTAATTTCAAGGCTTTTTTTAATGTAGTGTTTAGTGGAAATGAAACTTTTTGATGGAACCGCACACTGAAGGGCAGATCTGTTTGAAGGCAACCAAACTGTGGCCCTGGCATTTTAGCACCATAATATTTCAAGGACAGGATGAGAAAGATTTGCTATCAACAAGGCAAGGGATCAGCCCCTCACAATGGGATGTAGCCTAGATAATAGCTGCTTGTTTCTGGCATTTACAGCAGAAGCAAAGGGTCACAGCAAGTATTAACAAGTTTGGCCATGAAGCTGTAATGGCAACCAGCGTGGTTTCTCAATGATATAACTGCGTCAAGACAATCCTCCTCCTTCAGTCCAGGAGATCTAGGAGCAAGCAGGCCTAATGTGACAATTTGCCACTCTGTAATATAACAGAGCACTTCAGTGTTGATATACTGGTTTTATTTTTTTTAAAAAAGGAGAAAGCTTAGCTCCATTATGAAAATGAAAGGAAGTTTAAACACCCACGCACATCCACACGGACACTTTTGTGTGTAAGACATGTACATTTGTAATATATAACTGGCTTTATAAATCAGTAGGAATAAAGGAGGTGGTAGGAAAAATAAGATTTCAGACATATTGGACATACTCTTTTTTTTTTCTTTTACAAGATTCCCAAATCCCCTGACTAGAAATGCAAAATGATGGTGGGAATGGGCTTGAAATAATCAAAAGTAAATGTTTTTTAGCACCACGCCAGGTCCAGAACACTACTACATTAGAATTAATTTTGCCTATACAAAATCCATTTCTATGCAACTTCCTTTGTTTCAGCAGCCTGGCTTTATGCCAACAGAAGACTCTTTCTATTGTTGCTGTTGCCCAGTTGGGAGTTGGAAATTTTTTGTACTCTACTTCAAGTTAAGAGATCTACTAGCAGAGCCAAATCTACCTTCTACTCACCCTCATTTTGGGCCATCCAGTCAACTCTCTGCCTGAGGTGGGAAACACAGGGCTAGAGCATGTACTTACAGACTAAGCACCTGGGTAGACATCTGGCTAATTGGAACTCCAGGAAAGCCAAACCGAACTGTAGCCTTCATGACTAATCCATCCATAATCCCAACTGTGGTCTCCAACAAAAACCACTTACGAAATTAATTTTACTAGACAATGTATTGGCATGCAATAGCATGCATCATCATCATCCCAGACAGCAAATCCTGACTGGAGCAGATGAGGTTTATTTATTTACTTGTGCTTTACATTTCTAAACTGCCCACCTCCCTCAGACAGATTAAAGATTATAGATTAAACATAGGATAAAGCTTAGGGCCTTTTCTTGGAATGTAGGTAAATCACAGGATTAAACACATAAAACAAACTGGAACATCCATGTATGTAAACAGTGAACCTTGGAGTGCAAAATTCAAGAACTGAAAGATGAGGAGACCTTTTGTTTCATACATCAAGTTTCCAGAGGTATCCGATCATAAAAGTTTGTAAGCAGAAACATGAATAACTATCTTGGCCTTTTCCAGTGAGGTTGTCCTTAAGAAGGTAGATTAGGGATTATTTACTTGAACAGTATGCTATTGTCAGAGGAATGAATTTATAGCCAAGGGAAAGAAGAATGTAATTCTCCTGTTTGTGTGCCCATAACTATGTGGACATGAATCCGTTTATTTTTTTCTGTATTAATTCTGGAGCATTAAGAGGAGCTATCCTGGATGAAACCAGCCACATACTTTGCCCCATCTGAAGCAAAAAAAAAAAAAAAAGAGCTGGAAAGGAGTCCAAAAGCAGAACATGTAGTGGCAAGATAGCTGTAATTCCCGGCAACTAGCATTCAGACTAGATATCAGATGTTTGCGGTTAGCATATATGCTATTGTTTTGGCCTCTAGATGTTTGAGCCTATCTGCTTCAGAATAGTGCAGGTTAGGCTGGGTAAAAGTGGTGGGAGATGTAGCTTTAGCAATCAGGAAAAAATGGGAAACCTTCCATATAATATTAATAAACAAGGCACTTGAAAATCCATCCTGTTTGTAGATCAATACACTGCATGTACCACTTAGTTGGTGGATTGTGGATAACAATATGTTGATTTGCAATGTACTCTCTGGACTAGAGATTTGAGCGTGTACTAATAGTCTAGGCATGTCTGAGATAAAAAAAACGTTGATTGTGTTTGTAAAATACAATCATAAAGTATCAAAACTAACTAGTACCATACTGTCGTTACTGTTAGCAGAGAATGCTGCATATAGTACAAATATAAGTAAAATTTACTAAAAATGTCAAATATTATAATAATATAATATAATATAATAATATAATATAATATAATATAATATAATATAATATAGTCAAAGCCATGGTTGTAGAAAGCGATAGTGAAAGAAGTCATAGCTTACAAGTTCATCTGATGATGGCCATGGCAAAGAAAGACTGTAACTTGGAATGTAAAGGAATACATGGTAAGGAACATGAATTAATGATTAAAAAGAAGGAACAATGTATGGTGTATATCTGTGAAACTAAGGAAGGGGAAGGATGCAATAGATCTGAATAAGGATGTGGTCTGTGGAAAGGCGCTGATGAATAAATGCAAAAGGGTAGGTTAATTATGAATGAAAGAGCTAAAGTGTATGTCAGAAAGTATGAAATAGTGCTTTTAGCATGTTACAGGTTTCAGATGCAAGTAAAACTTTAGAGTTTGGTGACAACTGCATGTTATGCTCCAATGAATTATGAGAATGGCAAGACCAAAGATTTAAAGAAAACTTGTGCAATATTCAAATTGAAAATAATGAAGGGGAAAAGTTTTCCGTTAAGTGACATGAATGTTTTGGTAGGAACAAGAAAAAAAAAATACAGAAAAAAGGATGGTGCCATTCAGAGAAGATTGTTGATCTTGGTAAACGGTTGCTCAGAAAAAGGACTACGCAGATCGCTTTTGGATACATGGTTTGTTTCAAATACAAATTTTAAACAGAGCTCTGTTTATTCATACATGGAATGAATATAAATCTTAAAGGATTGAGAGAAAATTAGTGAAGGATACAAGGGTGATGAGAGATTCAGAATGTGGGACAAGCACTTTTTGGTAGAAAAAAGGTAGATTTTGAGGAAAAATAGATATGGAACACAATGAAAGATGGGAAAGAAGTAAGAGTGGAAAATAAGACAGCAGGAAGAGAATGTAGCAGCCATTATGAAAAAGTACTAGAAGAATGATTAATTTCTCAGTAGAATGAACAGGATGTGAATATAAGGAATGTGGAGTGTCCTTTAAAATAAATATGTTACTGAGTACTGCATCACGGAAGCATGTGGAGTTATGCTACTAGAAGTATAAAGAAGAGTGCCTGGTAAAATTATGACATAAAGGAGATTGTGTTTGGGAAAAAATACATATAAGAGAGTGATTGCTGCAAAAAATGAAGATGAAAGAAATATGCTGTATAATGCATATGTAGAAAATCAGATAATGGCAGAGAATACATCCAAAGAGAGCTTGACACAGTTAAGAGTCAGAGGAAGTGCAGAATAATTTTGATAGCAAAATATATCTTTTGAAAATGAGTAAAAAGTGTTAAACAAAAGGGCCTACAACTTAATAATAATAATAATAATAATAATAATATCATTTGCCTGTAAGCAAAAACTGGTGGGATCATAAAATAGAGAAAGTCATAGAAAATGATAAAATTAAACTGCTCTGGGACTTCAGAATTCAAACAGACAAGCACCTGCAACATAACACCCCAGACTTAACAAATGTCGATAAGAAAGACAAAAAAGTCTGGATAGTGGACGTGGCAGTGCCTGGAGATAGCAGAATAGACGAGAAAGAACTGGAGAAGATAACAAAATACAAAGACCTACAAATAGAAATAGAAAGGCTGTGGCAAAAGCAAGCAAGGGTAGTACCAATAGTCATAGGCTCCTTGGGTGCAATTCCAAAACAACTGGAGCACCACTTGAACACCATTGGCATTGACAAATTCGCTATTAGTCAATTGCAAAAGGCAGCCTTATTAGGAAATGCTTCCATCCTGCGACGATATCTGTAATACCATCAAACATCCACATCTGCCTATCCCAGGTCCTGGGTAAGGACTCGATAGGTAGACAAAATGCCAAATCCAGTCTGAACATCTGGCTGACTGTGCGATGACCCATAATAATAATAATAATAATAATAATAATAATAATAATAATAATAATAATAATAATAAGAATAAAAAGTTGGAAGGGACCTTGAAGGTCATCTAGTCCAACCCCTGCTCAGGCAGGAAACCCTATACCATTTCGGACAAATGGCTGTCCAGTTTCTTCTTAAAAACTTCCAGTGTTGGCGCATTCACCGCTTCTAGAGGTAAGTTGTTCCACTGGTTAATTGTTTTAATTGTCAGGAAGTTTTTCCTTAGTTCTTAATTGCTTCTCTCTTTGAATGACTGAGATTAAGAATAAAAGTGATGACTTAATTTGGGAAGAAACTGAAGGGAGGAAATGCTGGAAGGTGTATTTGAGAGACTTAAGTGAAAATAGTAATACATTGCAGAATTGAATTGATATAGATGCTATATATGTTAGTGTTAAAAAATTGGGGAAAAAGAAGTAAGATTGAGAAAATGTTGAAAAATGAAAAAGCAGCAGCTGTAGACAGTGTACTCTAACTGGAGACATTTTATGCTTTTCTAGCTTTTAAAAACTCTGTTCTTTCAGAAAACATATACAAACTGATATGTGTGAAGTCATCTGTGCTAGAAGGGCTTTTATTGATTCTTTTTATTTTTTATTATTTTCATAATTCACTTATAGTTATCTTATATCAGATTATACGGTAGCAGTAAATAAATCTCATAAATAAATGTTAAAATATTATTGTGGCTTGATTATTTAACATGTGAAGACTGCATCTGCTTAATGATAGGAAGAATGACATTTTTTCCCCACATAAAGGGAAAGGTTGCAAACGTTAAAGTTGTTAAAGTGTGACTGGGAAGACATTTAGTAAAATTCTAAATGAAAAGGTATGAGAAATATCATTGAGAAAAAATTGTAAATGCATGTAGCTTTATGCCTTGCAGGTGGTACAGTACACAGATCAAATTTTTGCTTTTTGATAGGTCATTCAGAATGGTGTGAATGTGTTTTGGGCAGAGAGGTATGAGCCACTGGAGTGCCAGCCTCAGAAGTCAGCAGAGAATCAGCTACCGATGGCTGAATCAGCAGAAAAATCAGTGGAAACAGGTGCTGAAGAAGTCAGGTGATGAAGATCAAAACCCTGGTATAAAACCCAGTTCCATGATGGATTGGAATCTGCATCTGGCCTGTTTAAGAGCTGGCATCAGCGGTCATGCTTCCCTATATTTTCTGGAGCATTGCATGCACTTGTATGGACAACACCATGCCTTTGTAATTTACTGCAGAACTACTTACCAGTAAACTCCTTGTAAATCAACCAGGCATATGTGGTATAAGTCTGAAACAGAATAAAATGTGAGAATGTCTATGGGTGATTTAGAGAAAGTGGATGATATAATAAGTGGGCTTCAATTATGAAGTAAAACAAACATCTAATAATATAGAAGAAAATATGAAATACTTATTCAACATTGATCATGGACTAAGGCAAAGATGGTTGATTGCATCTGTGGATAAATGTATAAGTAATGCATGTGATGACATCAGGAGTATGCTAGTTGAGAATGTGAAATGTAAATATAGATTTTATACAGATGATGCCATCTTGCTGACTAGACCCAAATGATTTGCAGAAAAATGCTGACAGACAAAATGGCAGGCATAGGAATGTTTTAGTAACAATGGAGTGAGAAGGGCACGTAAGGAGAAAAATAAAAGCTGAAGTTTGTGGGAATGAGTTATGAAGAACCACGTACAGTATAGCAAAACATGACTAAAAGATAGGGGGTCAAGATAAACAGGTGATGAATATATGTAGATTAAGTACAAAAATAAGTGATTAGTATACAAGAAGTACATTGTGGTAGCTTGGTTATATAGTAAGAATGGATGTGAATCAAATTAAAAATGAATAGAGGAATGAGCTGATAAGAGGAAGTCCCAGAAAACCATTATTTGTTATGGTAAGAGAGGTAAGAGATTTAGAGAACAAAACAAGCATCATATGGATATGGTGAAAAACAAAGGTGCTTTGTAAGATAGAGAGATATGGAGAGTTATTTAGCTATCTTTGTTATCTCATGTTTTTAATTTATTTGATTTCCAGCTTATTCCTTTTCTGGCCTTTGCATAATACTCCTTGCTTTGAAAGTGACTAGTACTAAAAGTTATTTGTATATGTATGCCCTTTCAGGATAACTGAGTGTTTTCTCCCAAAGAGTTCTGCCTAATAGTTACGATGATCACATAATGTGCTGTTGGTTCTGTTGCGGTTTTATGGACATTTATTGGGTATCAAGAAGAATGGCTTTTCTGTTGAGACTCCCATCCTGAGAAACAGCCTTTCCTCAGAGGATTTCCGTTATTAAAGTCAAGATGCCTAGTGAAAAATCATTTTTAATTCACATTTTATTCATCGTGGCATTTTTGACATTTAATGATATTACAGCGATTTATAGCCAGTGATAATTTTATCAGTTCTATTATTCCCTTATTTAATTTGCACAGCTGCCCATCTCACATACATGACTCTGGATGGCTCAGTTATGCTGTCTTTCTTGAATGTTAACATTAAACTGGGCCTGAAGATGTTTTTCCTAATTACTCGCAGGATTACCTTCCCTGAATTTGCCTTGTCAAGTTCCTAGGTATCATGACACCTTGTGACAACCAATGCCCCACTTCCCGGTTAAATATGGAAACACAGTACGGCCAGTAGTGGTTCTTTCTACTACCTCTCCTCAGCTTCTTGCACTATTTCAACGGCAAAAGGAAGACTTTTATTTTCATCTCCTCAGCTGCAGTATTCAACTGAAAAGACCAATCCCCGTTTTTGCAGATAATTTACAACAGGGAATGATCTTACTAGAGGCTGAGAATACAGCAAAGGGAGAATATATTTTTCTATCTAACCTTTGGGAGGGGCAGAGGAATCTTAAATATAAGGGGTTTATTTCTTCTTTTAGATACATCAGGGCGTTCTTCTGAAGACTTCTTGGGTAAACTACGAGGGGCGAAAAAGCTCGGACGTGGCAAAGCTTTCTCACAAGAGAAGGCCTGTTATGAAACCAGGTGGAGCCGGGCTTGCCCGCACGAAGCACTCACTCCTCTCCACCGCATACCAAGGGAACGAGCTTCCCCCCGCGTGACCCAGACAAGCCACGTGGCCACAAAACCCAGCCTGGCAGCTCCCGGCACTGCTGTTACATTCCTTTCCTCGCGAACAACTAGAGGCCGGGGGCGGGGCTTCTCCAAGGCAAAGGCCAATCAGAGACCGAGAAGGAGCCCAGCAAAACAAACCAGCGATCCGAGCCGCTTATGGGAAGAGACGGAGGCGTGGGAAGATGTGTTGGTGCGCGGTTTGCGCAAAGACAACCCCCCCCCCTTCCCTCCCGGTTTCTGATGGACTTTTTAGGGAATGGAGGCGGCTATTCATCCCCCCCCCGCTTGTTTTGGGGGAAAAGCTGTAAGTCTTCTGCTGCAAAGGCCCCGTCCTCTTGGCGTCACGGCTTAGACTGGGCAGCTTCAAGCCAAACAAAGAAAATGACTGTAGCTTGCAAGAAGCCACAAGTCTCATCACGTCCTGCCTTCTCCCACATATAAACGCCAAATCGTGCGAACCTCGAAGGTTCTTCGCAGTTACATTTAGGGTTTGGGGGGAGGCGGGGGGGGGGAGGAGGAGGGAGACTTTTGGCGTACCAAAATGGATACCGAAGTTAGATTAGTAGAAAAGGAGCGAAAGATCACAGGCAGCGAATTTCTCCAGCAGTTAAACAGGAAGAAAAGATTTGGGGTGTCCCAACACCGAACAGTTCATGTATTTATAAAGGAAACGGGGAGATCGATGTGAAACAGAGGTTAAGAGTTTTCAAGCTAACCGGGTTAGAAAATCCCTTTTTCAACGAGTGTTCTTCCCAACTGCCTGCTTTTTGTGCTGCAAGTTCAGAGTTAAAGGCCCACTGAAGCCTTTCGTACATTTTCTCTCCCCTTTCATGCAGGGAAAAGTGAAAACCTGCGTAACCACAGCCTCCTGTTTTTATTTTGATTTCTGTCCCGACAGGAAGTACAGTTGATTAAAAACTCCTGAACTCAAGAGAGGAAGGGAGGGGTGTCCCCCTCCCCAAATACACCCCAAATCTGATGCTTCCGAGCAATAACAAAGATAAAGCAAGGAGGAAAGAAAACTGAAAAGCCCTTTCCCAGTACAGAAGACGTCTCTTACCCAGAGAGCAACCAGCTGGTCCACTAATCTTTTAGTAACAACAATAACAGCCTTCAAGCCAGCTGAGGGAGGCGGAGGCCGGTGAAGCTCTAAGTGCTGCCGGGAGTTGTAGTTCTCTTTCCTCGCTCATAAATTAAAGATGAGCGAAGAGGTAAGATTCAAGTTGTCACAGAGAGCCGAGAGAACGCCTGGGATTGTGGGATTGGTAGTTCTGAAGCCCAGTGAGACAAGGGGAAATAGTGCTAGTGGGACTCCAAGTTCCAGGGAGCACTTTGGTCTCAGGGAGATGGGAAGCAGTTCACGGGGAAAGAAAATAAATTATTTACAAGGGACTCAAGTTGCCAAGGTGGTAAATCTAATATTCTAAGAGTTCGTCTCAGAATATTTTTTGAGATTACATTCCTAAGTACTATGAGCAAATTTCCCCCAAAACCTCTGGGAATTGACTAAAACTGCTATATAAAAATTCAGAGATGACTACAACAGGGCTCTAAAACGCAAACGAACATTTGAATATACACACACGGCAATGAATATGTAGAGACATTGTGTACAATGATAGTGATCCAAAGATAAAAATAGGGAATTATTCATGGGCATTGTGCCAATAAATAGGTTAAAAAGATGTTCCAGTGAGTAACATCAAGGTCAGGAAATCAATCTCGAATGAATATGAATAGAGGGCAAATACATTGAGGAAATCTCTGTTGTGTCCTGAGCCCAGGCTCGGGACGTTGCAATGGTCCCAGGCTGCTGCAAGCTGCCCGGGACCAGACTGAGTGGCGCCAGCCCTGCACGCATGTGCAAGGCGCGGAAGCACGCCAGTTTGTTGCCTTTTTGCTCGGGGATTCTATTAAAGGAGGCAGAGAGGCCTGCGAGCCTCTGAATTGTGTCGGAGAGAGCTGAAAAGAATAAAAGCTGTTAGAAACATCAGAATGTGTGCTCTTCTTTCGTCGTTGACTCGAGGACTCAACACTGGCGACGAAGGTGGGATCGCTTACAAGATAAAGAAAGAAGACTTGTAAGGCTTACCCAAGAGTCCTGAAGAGAGGAAGACGGCGTTAAACTCAGCATCTGGCCTGCCAGTACAGCGTCGCTGGAGGTAAGCTGGCTGATAGACCCCTTCCTAGAATAAGAAGCAAGGATGGCGAAGATAGGGAGATTGTCTGAATTCGACGTTACTCACCCAGAAAGATGGGAGTCTTGTGTCGCTAGAGTAGAAAATTACTTTAGAGTGAATCAAGTTAGTGAAGATGGCTTGAAGGCCGCTACTTTGCTGTGTGTCTGTGGTCAAGATGCATTTGAAATTGCAGAAAATTTGGCAGCCCCTGCTCCTCTTGAGTCTGTCACTTATACAGACTTAAAGAAGTTATTGAAGGAACATTTCCAGCCCAAGTTGTCTTCATTGCGTTTGAACAGAGGGATCAAAGAGCTGGAGAATCAGCCACAGATCTCACGCTTACTCGTGTGCTGTCATGGGTTTTGTCTGGATGGCCTGAGAGTTGTCCAGGTACTGAGTTCCAAAGCTTCTGGCTCAAGAAGCATGAGTTATCCACTTTTCAAGGTTGCCTGTTGTGGGGCAGCAGAGTAGTTATTCCTACCTCATTGAGACCTAGAGTCTTGGCTTCTCTCCATGAGGGTCATCCTGGCATTGTCAGGACGAAAGCGCTTGCGCGCAGCCATTTATGGTGGCCAGGATTAGACAGGGAAATAGAGGGCCAAGTGCATGGATGCCACTTGTGCCAGCGTTCACGCCCTGAAATGCCTCAGGCTCCTGTGCATAGATGGGAGGAGACACAGTCACCTTGGTCTAGGGTGCATGTGGATTACACTGGGCCCTTTCAGGGACAATTCTTCTTGGTCCTTGTTGACAGCCATTCAAAATGGCTTGAGGTTGTTCCTGTCTCTTCCACTACTGTTGCCAAGACCATTCAAGTACTAAGAGGGATTTTTGCTGCTCATGGCCTTCCAGATGTTTTGGTTTCAGAGAATGGTCCTCAATTCACTTCTTCCGAGTTTCAGGCTTTTCTGCAGGCCAACATGATTTGTCATGCGACTTCGGTGCCCTTCCACCCTTCCACCAACAGTATGGCTGAACAGATGGTCCGCATCACCAAGGATGCTCTCAAGAAACTGACTTACGAGGACTGGCACCACAGGTTGGCAGATTTTCTTCTTGCTTACCGCACCACACCTTCTGCTTCCACTGGGAAATGCTCGGCAGAACTTCGCTGGGGGCGCAGACTGATCACCAAACTTGACAGGCTGCATCCGGACAGGGTGGCTCCTTGGGTCTCCCAAACAAGGGCACCAAGGTGTCTGCAAGTGGGTGCCCCGGTATGGACTTGGAACTATGGGCCCGGTCACCTGTGGGTTCCAGCGGTTGTATGCAAGGTCACTGGTCCATTGTCCTATGAGGTTTCCCTGGACGATGGTCGTGTCCTTCGGCGGCATATCGATCAGCTGCATACGAGACTGGACTCTCCCTCTGCAACTCCTGGGTTTTCTCTGAGGGGGAGGGGGAACACTGTGGGCAAAGGGAAGGGTGTTGGCAGCAATTGGGGCCAAACAGAGAGATGGAGGAGGGCCTTTCCCAAGGTTCCGCAAGTGTCCCTAACAGGAATTCAGGGGGACAAGGAACAATACAGGCACCAGTACTTACTCCAGCCAGGGAGTCACCCAGGGGGCATACTCATTATTCACAACCCCAATACAGCATTCCAAGCTGGGAGAATAACTGGGAGCATCCAAACAACCCAAATTACACAAGAGAACTGACATACAAACAAACAAGCAGGCCCAATGCTGCTACTGCTTCCAAAAGGAAGTCTGCATACAGGGAGGTAGTCAGAGAGGCAAATCCTGATTCTGGTACCTCTGGATAGAATGGGGGCAACCGAGTATTGGGGCACTGCAGAAACCCCAGACAACCCACTTACGGGGCTTGGGAGTGAAGGGATGCGTTCCCTTGATAGGTCCATTGTGGACTTGGAGAGTACCACAGAATCGCCAAATACTGGTGGGAACATAGAAGGGCCCGAGAGCCTACAGTTAGGTAGATCAACCAGGTACAGTAGGGAGCAAAGTCCTGGTCTGACGAGCCTGGTGGGCAAACAAGCAGACCAGGCAACAGAACCCAGGTCACGGGGACCATCAGGGCTTAAAAGAGGGGGCAACTCCACTACAATCTCTGCACAGGATGATCAAGGGTGTTCTCAAAATCTGAGGAGGTCACAGAGGGTTAAAAGATCTCCCAAATACCTGGAAGATTTTGTGACATTGCTGTCAAACCAAGGGAGGTGAAGAGGGTGCCTGCTATTGGGGGAACTTGGAAGTGCAAGTCTTGGGCACTTAATTCCAAAACAATAGCATGGTACCATGCTATAGTGCGGCTAGTAAGTAGCTGCAACAGTTGTGCGGTTCCATAAGGATAGCACACCACGTTCGTGTTGAGGTCGCGTATATCTATCAATATAGTTTAATTAAGTTTCATCCGGGGGGGAAGGGATGTTGTGTCCTGAGCCTGCAAAAGCAGGTTCGGGACGTTGCAATGGTCCCGGGCTGCTGCCCGGGACCAGACTGAGTGGTGCCAGCCCTGCGCGAATACGCAAAGCGCGGAAGCGCGCCAGTTTGTTACCTTTTTGCCCGGGGATTCTATTAAAGGAGGCAGAGAGGCCTGCGAGCCTCTGTTGTGTCGGAGAGAGCTGAAGAGAATAAAAGCTGTTAGAAACATCAGAATGTGTGCTCTTCTTTCGCCGTTGACTCGAGGACTCAACAATCTCTATAGTCTGTTACATCATTGTTATAAAAGTCCAATTGCAGGTTTAATAACAAGACAGCATAGACTTTTGTGTACAAGAGAGCATTCTACTTGTCCCTAGCCATGTGAATATTTTAAATATTTCAGTTATACAAATATGCTGCAAACTCCTAATACTACTACAGCAATAAATCACCCAGAAAGTCACAATTCAGACAATAATTAAACATCAAATGCTGTAAGCCATCCCAGCAGCCACTCTCTCAATTAGGTGCTGCCATTGTTAAAGATCCAAGTACTGTTGCAGGGCTTTTTTTGTCATAGAACGCCCAGAACGGAGTTCCGGCACCTTTTTTGGATGGAACCTTGTAAGGTAGGCAAGGTGGGTTGTATGATGTGCGTGAGTTCTGGCACTTTTTTTTTTTTTTTTTACAAAAAAAGCACTGCTCTGTTGTACTGCTTTCAGGAAAAGCAACACAGGCCATTTTAACCTTGGGGGCAAGCTGTTTCAGAGTGAAGGGGCTGTACCAGAAAAAGCCAGGTCTTTCCTTTACCTCTGGGAGTTGAAATGTGGCACACGTCCTCTTAGCCTCTACGTATTTTATGGGTAGATTATAGTTGGAGCGGATGGTCCTAAAGGTAGTGAGGACTAGCATCATAAAGGTTTTTATAGGAAACAACTAGTACTTTGAATTAGTCCCAGAAGCCTTTCAGCAACCAGTACAGTTACGATATCTGATGATCTAATGAGAGCCAGTTTGGTCTAATGTAGGAGTGTCAAATTGCCAGCCCGTGGGCCGGATGCATCATGCCAAAACCATGCCCACCCCATTGCCAGCAATAAAATGTATAGTCGCCAAGGAGCAAAGAGGCAGCTCAGTATGGAATCTCCAATATGCAGGAAGAGAGCCAAGGAGGACACTTCCTACCCTTTCACGGGGTATTCCTCATAGTTATGCAGATTTGTGCTTTAGTTTGGCAAGATTCCTATCTAGGGGCAAGCAACAATAAAGAAACTGTGAAGTAAGCTGTGAAGTAACTCCTTGTGTTGTTCTTCATTCCTTGTACCTGACAAGGATCAAGATTATCCACTCCACCTGGAGCCTTCTCTAATTGTTGTATATTATCTTCACAACCTTTCCCAGCAGGAGAGGTTGGTGATAGGACAATATTTATTTAAGATTAATTGAGTAATGGATCTCGAGTAGGGGCACACCACTACTTTCTGTAAGGTATTATGGACATCCCCTGTTCATTGTCATAGCCTGATGACATTTATTTCATCTTAATCCTAGCCATTCCTGAAGCTGATTTGTTAGTTCTTCAGGGTTTTGTGTAGATTGTCCCCCTTATTGTCTCCCCTATCCTGAC